ATTAATTTATTTCAATATTAGCTTCAGAAGGTTCCCTGTTTTTCTTTGTTTTACTAGATAATTAATTTAACGTGTATCATGTTCAAAACTACAAGAGATTAGAAATTCAGGATTACAACCAACAAAACTAAATATCAATAAAAGAGCAACTGCATAAAAAACTAAGATGTACTGTGTATTAACCCAGAAAATTATAGATTCACCAAACCATAACAAATTTTTATCCCCTAATCTTCTCTAACCATTTATCAGAGCAAAACAAACCTCTGACTGATGACTCTGGATTTTAAAACACAAGATTACACATGGTCACTATACTCCATGTAAAAAAACAACCCAATCACCAGAATAAATGTTGGCATGGTACATTTCTGCAAACCATGGATACATTACATTTTTACATTTCTTATTATGTAGCGGATTTGCTGAAACTTTACTTTTCAACAACCCTGTGGTTGATATGTGGTTAGTTTTAGGAACAAAAACCTCTTTGTTATGGTTAGGAAAAGATCATGTTTTGCCTTTGAAATTTTCATGGTACCATGATGGCAGGAAACACAGAAAAAACAACCACCATGCCACCATTTTCGTCTGGCAACTGGGCTGCAACAAAAAATGATATCTGCCACTTATTCCACAAAGGTTGAATATCAAGAGCTCAGATCAGTTTCTTAAAAATACAAATAGTAATTTTACAAACAAAAGAAACTCAAACTTCAAATTTGATTATTATTTTGTTTTTTGAGATCTGTCATTAATCGTTTATTCAGTTGTGTATTAGCAAAATGACTCACACTTCAATCAATCAATCATTTGTCACATGCAATTAAAGAAGATACAATTAAGTGAAATGTGATCCCATCAGCTCTTTTACCTTGTTCACTATAGTTTAGTCCTTTTTTGTCTTACATTGTTGGCTGTTGCTCTGTAATTGTCCATGTTTCCTGATGGTTCTGGTAATCCATGGTTCTGTATCATATCGAGATTATCTCCCCACCCAGAAGTTATATCATAACTATGGGAATTATCCCTATCCCCATCATCTTGCAGACACGCCACTTTATGTGGCAGGCATGCACCGGGCTATAAAAGCCCACCTTGTGCATGCACCCACTGATTCATTGATTTCCACCTGTTGTAGTCGACATGAGAGCAAAAAGAAAAGAGAGAGGAGTTTAGCGTTCTGTCCACTCGCCTTCATTTAGGTTGGAGACCTGGCCTTCGCGGGTCTCTCTTGAGGATAGGTAAACACTGTTTGTTCTTTTTGACAATAAGGAGTGAAACAGTTGAGAAGGGTGCCATATCCGTGTATTGCAGCTGTCTGTTTACGCACAGTGGAGGCATAGCAGCTCACTCGAGCCTGACTTATTCAGGGGGCAGCATGCTGCGTCCCTCAAGGAGGTTGTTGCTGGCTCAAACCCGACCGGGTCACGGGGCAGTTTGCGACATTTCTCAGGGGTTTAGTTGCCTGTTCCAACCCGACAGAGTTGGCGGTTGGCGGGTGGCGAGCGGCTTACCTCCACAGTTAGCCACTGTGAGGTGTAGCTGGTTTTACGGTTCGCACCTGTGGAGGCTTTCCATTTCCTCATTAAAACACAGAATCTCTCTCCTGTAGAAGTGTCCCGCTGTCCAGTGTCAAAGAAAATAATCCATACTGTGGTCACACAGCAGCATGATTGCTATAGCTAAAGAGTGCACTTTTCGGTCGCGCTACAGTGATGTCACTCTCCAAAAAACAAAAAAGGAGAGAGAGAAACAATGGCAAGCCAACAGGGCCCTTCTTGTGTGGTTTGTAATGTTAATATGCCAGTAGAGGATGGCCATGACTACTGTCTGTTATGTTTGGGAATTGAGCATGCAGTGCTGCTCGTTATAATCCATCTTCATGCATGAACTGCTTCTGCATGTCTGCTAGGCAAAGGGAAGCCCATTGCCATTCATTTGGCAGACGTCCACCAGCCCCTTCTCAGGGCCTGCAGCTAGCTAAGCACCCTAAGTTTGCAGGTCTGGTAGTGGGGGACAGGGGCCCATCAGGGTGCTCCCCCGCCTCCATTATTACATTTTCAGTAGGGGGTGAGCAGACTGTGTCACATAGGAACTTCCCTGCTCCTGGGCCCTCTGCTGGGTTGGATAGGAGCCCCTTCTCCCCTGGGTTGGAGGAGGAGAAAGACATTCTTGGCCCTTAGCGACCCACATGGTTCCTTGTGCCTCTCCTTTCTGATTTCAGGAAGGTGGTCGATAGTCGGGTTAAAACGCCAACGGCGGAGGCATGCTGGTTGGGGCTCTGTTGTCATATGACTGCGGTTGACAATTGGGGTAGGAGAGGCTGTGGGCCATTGCCCCTCATGGATCAGGCTTTGGTTGCCTTGGTGGCGCTGTCAAAGTTCCTCGTGAGCAAAGCAAACTGCCCGAGTAGAAACTGCAAGGTAATGGATGGGCTGTTGGGAAAAATGCATGGAGCCATGGCAGTCCAGACACAGCTGGCAGACACGGGTGCCATACTGCCCCTATACCAGCGCCATCTGGTTGGCCAGCTAGAGGAGGGGTGTAGGACGGATCTAATAGCCGAACTTCAACGTGTCTCCTTACTTCTTCCAAAGTTCATGAGAGAGCAGGGTGAAGCGGCTTGCAGTGCTATGGCAAGCTTTTGCGTGGCCAGGCGCCATCTCTGGCTATCATCATCCATGCTGCAGCCAGAGGATAGGGCATGTGTGCTCAAACTGCCAGTTCAGCCATCTGCCTTGTTTGGGCCTGATGCATCCATGATGATTCAACAGGGCCAGTTAGCCCATCACTGTGCCTAGGAGGTGTCACGCACCTTGAAGCAAGGTCAGGGCTGGCAGTGGCCTCAGCCGCAGAAGCCCAAGCAACCTCAGCCTGCTTGGGGGCAGGAAGATCTGCGGGGCCAGCTGGATGCAGCATGGCACTGCAAGTCTAAATGCCGCAGAGGACATGGCAGTGGCCAGGGGCCATCCAAGCCCACGCCTCAGTCCTGACGTAACATAACCCCCAGCCTTCACTTGCCCTCAGGCGACATGGGAGGCTCTGGGAGCAGACCCCTGGGTTGTTTCAACAAAGACCCAGGGGTATTGTTTACAATTCTGAAGTGCTTCTCCTCTGACGAGGGTGGCAGCATTTTCCATTATTGTCAGGGTAGGCAACTGGTTTGCAACCGTCGACCTTAAGGACCCCTTTTTTCAAATCCCAATCTGGGAGGGGCACAGGAGGTTTCTCAGGTTTGCCTTCGAGGGAAGAACCTTCGAAATCTGTGTCCTCCCCTTCAGCATCTCACTGGCACCCAGCGCTGGGGCTGCACATCAACGAGAAAAAGCACAGTCTCCAGCCTGCACAGGCCACCCAGTTTCTAGGCATGTGGCTGAATGCCAGGGCTGGGTTGGTGATGCTGTCACAGGAGAGCCAGGTTGATATAAAAGATAAGTAAACATGTGTCAGTTTGACCACAGGAGGGTTAATTTTTTTTATCCATTAGCTATATTGAATTCATTTACATTTTTTCTTGTTTCTTACGGCAGCTGGAGGAAGCAAAGTGCCTGTATGGGAATATTTTGCAGAAATTAGAAAAAGACGTAGCTGTTCAGTACGACAGTCAACAGTTGTCGCTAATAAAGTCAAAGATTGTTCATTTATTACAGTGTTGAATTTTTTTTTTTCGGGGGGATATCGGCCGATTAATCGGGTAGCTTTTTTTTTTTCTGGTGGTTATGGTTAAAGGCATATTATGCAGGATTCTTAAAAAACAATGTACGGACAATGGCGCATTGAAAAGGACGCTACAAAAATCACAGACACAGGGCTGAAAAACACAAATATAGCGAGGCAAAACACAAAATGAACAAAAACTGGGGTTGGCTTTTACTTTCAATTTAGCTGACAATACTGTTGACAAACAGTATCCCACAGTCCTGCATAATATACCTTCAAAAGAAAATGATGTTGACTTCAGGTAGGATTTTTCTCTCAATTTTGTTAGTTTACCATATTTGAAATTAAGTTATAATGCCAAAAAGTTTTTTAAAATGTTTGAGCAGGAAATATGGTATCTTTAACAGGTGGAACAATGCCAGTAAGAGTCAATAAAGTGACTGACGGGAGCCCCTAAAGTTCCGGAAGGTTGCATTAGTGCCCTTGAGCAGCACATTTTATGCCTGCTGGTTGCATTAAGGGAATCACACTCGCTGACACGCTGAGTGGATACAGAGTGCAGGAGAATTTCCCTCTTGGGCAATCAATAAAATATCAAACAATAACTGAGATAATACAAGCATGTGAGTGGGAGGCGAAGGTTGTATATATTTATTGACTGTAATAAGTTGAGTTGAATAATAAGGAGGAGTCCTGTTTCTACATAACTGAGTCAAATCAGCAGGAACACTGATGGTAGATTATTTGGAGCAGACCTGTTGTTGTGTTTAGCTTCACTCATTTTTATTACAAAATTATTTTTTTTGTTGATTTTTTTGGTACCTTGTGGACATTCTTCCAGCTGTGCTTACATTTGGCAGTGAAACCTGCAGGGCGTCTTCTTGATTTGCTACATGACTTTTTAATCTATATTTTTACTATTGTCTGCAGTTTTACATGAACACAACATAATGTCCATTCCAAATGGTGTAAGCTTGTGTTAAAGCTCCATTACATGATTTTTGGCCACTAGAGGGCACAATATGATATATTATCATTTTATAAAGAGGCTATTGCTAATATTTTAGCTTAACCCTAACTATATAGGCATCCAGCAGACACAGAGCAACATTAGCATTCATTTGGAGTCATGTGTTTGTCCACCTGATGAATGTATTCTCTCTCTTTTAGCTCTGTTTTTGGTCTCCACCAACCTCTGAAGAAAATATCTGTGTCTTTAGCTGCTAAATGCTCCACTATATTTCTGTTTGTCTGCTGGAAACACAGGGACTGAACCAGACAACGGATGGTATGTTAGCATGGGAAGTAAAAGTTAATTTGTTGTGTGTTTTTTGCAGCGGGGGCAGGGAACAAAGCGGGCTGGGCATTTGGTCTCGGCCTGGAGAGACTGGCCATGGTCCTGTACGGCATCCCAGACATCCGGCTGTTCTGGAGTGAGGATGAGCGCTTTCTCAAACAGTTCAGAGTGACGGATATCCAGCAGCCCATCTGCTTCCAGGTACAAACATGCTGCTACTAAAAACATACAATGCATGCACTGTATGAATAGTGTTCTATGTATAAGAGGCTGGATATGTGGTCTGATGGCAAAACATCATCAAAGTAGAGCAGGACAGTCTTAACTCAAGATTCGCTTACATTCCAAAGAATTTAACTGAATCTTATGGTTTTCCTCCTCCTCTAAGGCTTGTGTTTCAACCTTCTTTTCTCAGATTATAAAAATAGTTTATTTAATAATAGACTACGTGAGGTATCCATGTTTTTTTTTATTTACGTGCCACTTATCATTATGCTAGATATACAAAAGCTTTGAACTAATATAAAAATAACAATAACCAAACTTTATTTTTATAGCACTTTTCTTAACAAACTTAGGAGTGCAGTGAAAAGCAGATTAAAACAATATTAAAATTAAAAACAGATATAAAAACACAGTGGGATTACAAAAAAGTTCATTTTTAGATGGTAATAGGAATATACAATTTTTAATTATAGTGACTGCTTAAATTGTGACTTTGATTGGTATTTTGTAACCATGGTAACTTCTGTATGACAAAACCTCAACATTGCACTTGAAACTGATGTTTTTTTTATTAAAGGGAAACTTATTTTTCAGCTTGGACCCTATCTGTCTATCTAATGGAAACAATAACTTGAAATTGGTCCAATATTGACACTCCTGTAGCCAGCAGCGGTGAAAAGAGCCTGTCAGTGGCAAACACTTTTAGTGGACATACATTGATGGTGTGAACATGCCCTGAGTGGTTACACTGCAGCAGATTTAATGTTGTTCAATGCGGGGCCAATGTCAAAAACTGTTTTTCCCATTCGTCAGTTCTACACAAAAACACTGGAAAATAGGGTCCAGGTTGAAAAAGATGCAGTTTGCTTATTTTGCCATCACTATGTTGCATAAATATTTATCATAAACAGTCCAGTGATCAAATGTTTCCTCTCATTATTATCTTCTCTTCTTCCTGTTTATTATTCCGTGTGTTTGGTCGTCCATTAGTTTCTCTGCCTGACTGAGTGTTCAGCTCAACATTTACACTCAATAACCTCTGCCTTTAAGCACTTCCATCTCCCTACATCAACCGCCCACATGCTCACTGTGTGTGTGAGTGTGTGTGTGTGTAACCATTCATCAGTTCATCTGCAGTAGAAATCAGTAATGAGTAATAACTAGTAGAACTAGAAAGGTGATGACTTAGTTGCTCCATTTTTACATCAGATGTCAAACTGATGCAAGAGCAGCAGCTAACTATCTCTACTTGTCACAAGTTCAGTTCACTTAACTTCAGGTTTATTTATAAAGCCCAGTATCACAAATCAAAATTTGCCTCAGAGCAGCATACAACATTCCTCTGTCCTTTAACCCTCACAGCAGGTAAAAAACTCCCCCAATTAAAACTCTTTGATGGGGAAAATGTAAGGAAACGCTGGATGAGCAACTGAACAGGGATCCCTCTCCCAGGACGGGCAGACATGCAATATGTATAATAACAATAGTATTATATGATGGTATGATATATGACAGTAGCTGTATGTGACAATAATAAGATGTAAATAACAATAGTAAGGGCATGACTAATAATAATAGCAGTAGTAGTAGTATGCATTAGGCAGGACCATGGCATGAGTACAACCACAACCCACGATCTAGGCGCAACAGTGATCCATCGGAACCTGTGAGACGAGAAAGCACAAAAGCGGAAGAAACCAAGCTAGTTAAATGCATCAGTGTTTCCCACAGGAGTTTTGGAGACTACTGGGTGGTCTAGGGGGGTTCGGGGGCATGCTCCCCCGGGAGAAAATTTTGTATATATTTGATTTAAAGGCATCAATCTGGTGAATTCTGAGAGCCAAGTTATGATGGCAGAATATGCCTATAGATTTCAAAATCTTTGTGCTTTTTATGTGTGAAAAATGTTTGATTTTTACTGATAAAAACACGAGTGGTATGTTATGGTGAAGGGTTACACTTAAAATACAGGGAAGGATTAGTGGTTAAACATTTCAGTAATCAAAAGAAAAATGGCTAACGTACTGATCTGCCTCTGGAGGGCTATTTTATTATTTTAAATCATGTGCAGACAAAATATTCTTTTAAAACTCTCTCACCAACACAGTAACAGATGCGCAAAACAATACAAAATATGCAATATTTTAAAGACAACAAAACGTAAGACTGAAATTAATTACACACAGACACAAATTACTGCTTTCCTCCTTGCCTCCCTCCCTCCCCCTCCCTCCCTCACGAATCAGAGCATTTAATTTTACGCAGCTTCGAAAAGAAGATTTCAACAGCCCTCTGGTAGTTGAATGCCTCTGGGACAGAATTCTCAGTAGGCGCTCCAAACAGTGCGTTACTCTGTTATTTTTGGCCAGGTTTTAAAACGGCGCGCAGCATGCACTATTCCTTCACAAACTGAAGTTCCCATTCACTAAAACATTTCAGCCCTAAACAATAAATGACGTTGACATGACGTTACATGGATTTATTAACAAATGTACTTGTTTTAAGCCAAAGCATGGTGGCTTTTTCTTACCTAACTATGTGCTTTTGTTGCCTGAACATAAGGAAAAAAAATAAAAACCAAATTTTTACCTAGATTGACTGTTTATTTTGAGAAGAGACTGTATGCATTTCACAAGCTTAAACTGTACAATTCCTGTGAAAAAGTTTATTTTTGAAAAGACACAATGCTGAGCGTAAATTAACACGCCATCAGTGAGCGTCCAAAACTGACGCTAGAGGCATACATGACTTTTTGTTGTGTCTGGCCGTGTTGGTATTTGATGAGTTCAAAGTGTTGACTTATACCTATCTACCTCCTTCCTTCCTTTCTTCCTTCCATGGGGGCAGTTGTTACTCTGATGTAGACTACCCCAAATTGCTCCATTAGTATGTGAGAGTGTGTTAATGGTTACTGAGTAGCAGCTGGCACCATGTATGGTAGCCTCGGCCACCAGTGTGTGACTGTGGATGGGACATGTAGTGTAAAAAGCACTCTGAGTGGTCAGCAGACTATAAAAGCACTGTACAAGTGCAGTCCATTTACCATTTTCCTTCCTTCCTTCCTTCCCTCTTATTTCAGTGGTTAGAAGTTAAGTTAACAATAAAAGTGTAAAAATGAATATCTTCTGCACCTACAAACCTATTTACTCATTAATCAAATATATGATATCCACCTTTCTAACCAACCAACAAACCAACCAACCAACCAACCAATTTTCCATCAATCTACCAACACACCTGCCTATCTAACCTTACAGCCTATCTACCTACCACCTGCCTACCTTAACTAACCAACCAACCAACCAACCAACCACCTACTGATCCAACCACCTGCCTACTGTCTTACTTAACCCACCAACTACCTATACCAGTCAAACCACCTTTCTGCCTTTCTCCTTAACCAGCCAATAAAACCCACTCACCTACCTGCCGGGTAATGTGAGCACAGGGTTTTGACAAAGAGAGACAATATCTCTGGTTCTGCGATTTTGGTCCTTTTTGTCTTGAACTGTTTAGCATGAGTCTGATGATGTTTTAAGAGTTCAGTGTGCTTTTAGTGAAGCTTCATCAGCTGTGATTGAAACTTAAATTATGTTTAAAAAAGTGAGTTAGTTTAGAAAATGCATTGTATTTAACCTCCTCATTCTATTTGTGTTTCATCCTTTTGCCCTTGCCACTGTAGTCCTTCATATCCAACAGTACGTGTGTGTGTGTGTGTGTGTGTGTGTGTGTTCTAGCCTCTTAACCTTATGTATAAAACATTTTGACAGTGGGGGCTCACATCAGCAGGTACCAGTCACTTCCCCTGACCCACCACCATCATAGCACACACACACTAACACACACAGTGGGGTATGTGCGGGTTCACACAGCGGTTATTCCGTCCCCACTAAAGGTGTTTTTTGTCGACTCTCGTCTTCATTAAAGAAGAACATTTCAAGTGACTGTTGGAGGGCAGATAGGAGAAGAAGAGAGGGGAGGTAGGAAGGGGAAATGAAGGAGGTGGAGAGGAGGAAGAAGAAAGAATAGAGACTAAAAATGGACTGAGAGAGAGAGAGGAATAAATGAGAGGAGAAACACAGGTAGGACAGAACAGGTAAAATGGAAACAAACAAAAACTGGGGATGAGGGATGTAAAAATAAAAGATTTATAGAGTTACAACAAAAACAAAAAGGGAGTAGAAGACAAAAAACATGTTTGAAAGAAACAATAAAAGCACAAATATATAAAGTATAAAAAGGAGGGAAACAAATGAAGTTAAATGAGAGAAAAAAGAAAGAGTGAATGAAGAAAAGAAGTGGGGACGAGAGAAGGCAGATGAAATAAAGAAAGTAGGTAGGGAAAAAGGAAGGAAAGTAGGTAACACAGTAAGAAAGAAGGAAGAAAAAAGGAGAAAAGAAGATCTGGAGAAACAATGAGGAAAGGAACGAATGAAGGAAATGAAGTGAGGAAACAAGGAAAAAAGAGTGAAAAAAGAAGCAGGGAGGACAGAACGAGGGATGGAAATAAAGAAAGTAGGTAGGAAAAAAAGGAAGGAAGGACAGGGAGGAAATAAGGAGAGAAGGAAGGAAAGGAATAAGACAGAGAATAAGATAAGATATACTTTATTGATCCTCAGAGGGGAAATTCAAGTATCACAGCAGCACAAGACAAAAACACATTAAATAGAATAAGATAAAAGAGAAAAAAAATTATAAATAAGGATCAATAAATAAAAGATAAAATAAAAATAAAATTGCTATATCAAGGTGAATAAAGTCACTAAAAATGGCAGACAAAGTGTTGAATAAAATAAAGTGTCAATTGGCAGATTAAGTATCATAAAGTGTTATGTTGATCAGATGCAAAATAAGTCAGTTCAGAGCTGGATGTAGCTTAAGCCAAACTGCTGTTGTACAGTCTGATGGCAGTGGCCAGAAAGGAGCATCTGAATCATTCGGTCCTGCACCTGGGTGCGATGATCTGCTGGCAGAAT